CGATTGTCTTGGGAATTAATGAGAACGTTTGTACGCGGAGATAATTTGCTGGTTGATCCGGAATCATCTTCGGACGCCTCGTAACTCGATGCATCGATTTCTGCAATGTCGTCGCGGTTTTTATCGGATTTCGTTTGATTACGTTGACATAGTTTTGAACGGTGTAAACTTTTTGACGATACTCGATCTTCTTTGTCACTTTCCTTCTCGATTTTAATATCTTTGATGTCAACGAAGTTATCATCGTTCTCAAAATTATCATTGATCGTTTCTTTTTTCGAATCCTTTACGTTGAGTGCTTCCAATAAGATTTCTGCCGAGGCACATGCTGCTTTCCAAGTGACGTCTTGTTCAAGATTGTTTTTAATTGAAGTAACACGTTTCAGGATGGTCGGTGAATTTTGGAGAGAGACACTTTGCGTTGTTGTGGTATTTAACGTAGTTCGAGTTATCGGGGTTGAGGATGCCAATACTCTAGGGACTTTTTCACTTTTGCTGGAATGCATATTCTTGTAATTATTTCCAGAACCGCGCAAATTGTCAGAACGTCTAGTATTACTCTTTCTATGATGTCTTTTTTTCGGTACATTATAACTGCCAGGTTTCATGTAAACTCTTACATCCTCCGAGCTGTCGTATTCTTCAGTAATTTGACTATGAACATTCAATCGTTTGCTGAGAATGTGTTCGGCATTCCACGGTGCACTTTGAATACTTTGCATGTTTCTTAATGTTTGAAGTTGTCGATTCGTATCGATTTGTAATTGTCTGGTAAAGTCTATCGTGTTTCTAGCAAGAGTTTGATCTCGATGAGACAACGGGTGATGTTGAACATGTGATTGTTGTTGTTGTTGTTGTTGCTGCTGCTGCTGTTGTTGGACTTGTCCATTAGCATTTCTCATGCTGGCAAACCAAGCGGATAAATTAGCAGTCATCTCTTCGGATTCTTTCTCTGGTATATCCGGTTCTATTTGACTCAACAACGTCATTCTATTTCTTGGAACAGCTAATAATTCGAGTTGATCGGTTGATGACTTGCCGATATAAACCGGAGCACCGATATTCGATTTGTTCTCGTAGATCGTTCTGCTATCGACGCGTGCTATCGGAACATTGTCATTACCAGGGTAGAAATGTCTAGTTAAAGTATTTCCAAACAATGAAGGATCGTAATTCATATTCGTGGTTGGTCTTTGAATACCATAAACCAATCCTGCATTCATACACGGCGTAGGAATGTTGTTGTCGAAAAAGAACTCTTGTTTCCTGTTTTTCAATAGCCATTCCTTCGAATTTTCGTGATTCCTCTCCATTACGGTGCTTCTCAAATGAAAGAATTCAGCGTTGACCGATCGTTCCGACGTATCAATTTTACTGGACAACGAGGATGCCTTCTTGTTACGAAATCTGCTACCTGTTCGTTCGTTATTTTTTGTACGATTTAATGATTTCTCATTGCCTATCGAAGATATTAAATTTTCTGTTATTGTCCACTTACTTCGTAATTTGGTTTCTTTGCGATAAGTTTTTTGAGTAGCATCATCGGTCGACATGGTGGACGATACCGCTGATTGTCGTTGCTCTTCGTCTTTCGAAATTTCGTTATTGATTTCCTTTCTGGTAGACTTTAAATTAGGCTCGTTTTTTGAACAATCGAAGAGATCAATCGACGTATACAAAGTCACATCGCCTGGGAAAGATGCCACGGATGTATCTACGAGTTTGTTCTCGTATTTATCGGCGGACATTCGACTGTTTTCTTCCAATTTTAAAAAAGTTTCTACAATCTGACGAAGCAATTCGTAAGTACTCTCTTCCCAAGTTTGAAAACATCGAAGTAACTCGTCGTTTAATTTCTCAGCAAGACTAGGATAGTGTTGTTTGTTCAGATAATTGTCGAGAATGAGCCAGCCGTTGCTGACACGCAGCAAAGCTTTTATCAAGTCCTTAGCAAAGATACGATCGCCGGCAAATATTGGAAAACAAGTTGAGGATTTTGTGATCGCTGTTCTAGTAGCCGAAGACAAATTGATCAAACGATCCCACTTTCCATTGTTAGAATTTTGTTGTAGTGTTTCCGAATTGAGAACAATTTCAGCTTCGGTGCAACCCCAATAAGCTGTTTTTCGAATCAATTCGGGATATTGGGATCTGTCTGTACAAGGACCATCCGTTTGAATGGCTATAGATTTATTATTTTCATTTTTGTTACTTTCATCCGTGCAAAAATTCGAGAACCAATTGTTCTTGTTCGATGGATTATCACCGGCTCCATCGAAGAACGCATTATCATCTGATTTCTTTCCATTACGTGGTTCTTCTTTACTCAAATCGTTCGACGACGTGGTGTTGCACAATGCAGAGACCATTTTCTCGGCCTCGAGAGTGAATTCGAAACTTGCCGAAGATTCGTCCGAGTATGCACCTTCCTCTTGCGCCGTCTCAACTATTAGTTTCTCCCCTGTTCGTGGAACAGACGGTTCTTTTGAATTTGACTCAAAATTATTCACTGAAGTCGCTTTGTTTTCATGTACCGGCCAGTTTCCGCGATTATCTGTCTTACTAGAATTAATTGGTATTGTATTATTGACGACCGATAACTTATCTTTCGAGTATGCATTCAACGAACTACTCTCGATATTTGTCTCTGACAATTTTTCACGTAATTGTCCAGCAAACAATAAACCTATTTGCGGATTCGGGAAGACTTGTGTAGCTTGTACGGTTTGTATCGGTCCTGTTATCTGATTATTCGTGAATGATGTTACAGTAGAAAACGGATTGACGGTTGCCAATTGAAATGCATTTGAATTAACTGTTTGCAAATTGCAGGTATTTGCTGAAGATACGTTGTAGTAAGAACCGCGAGCTGACGATGACTGTTGACGTTGAGCTAACTGAGATTTGTCTCGGTCTTGGAACAAACAGAAAGCTTGAGTGTCCGGTGATTTCGCGTATGGGGTTTGAGGTAACAAAGTCACCGCAGAATTATTGTAAGATTCTCCTAAGAGTCCACCGTGGGCAAAATTCGACGATGTTAGGATGAAGGATGAGTTTGAAGAAGGTAATGGGGGGTTGTTCGAGCCTTGTTCAAACACAAGCTTGGAATTGTAGAATGGTTGTTGAGTATGCTGTTGCTGGTGACCACGGTTAATCTTATTATTCTTGAATTGCCACTTATTGGGCTTGCCTAAGTACGTAAACATTAAAGATTATCGAAATAATCGAAGCAATTGATTGTTAACGAGTAGTTATTAATGATTTGTAGAATTTAACCTTGCATTTGCACAGAAATAGGAGTTGATGATAATCCTGCGGGTCGTTGAGCTGTGGGATAAATGCATGTTGGGTGTATTCCTGGGGCATAAGGTTGGAGAGGTATCACTGGATTGACGACAGGTCCGTAAAGGATTTGTTGTTGCTGGTGGTGGTGGTGGTGGTGGTGGTGGTGATGTTGTTGTTGTTGTTGCAAAAGAGACGATGTTGATGCATTCGGTACGGAAGATTGCAGAGACGATTGACTCGATCGCGAAGTCGCTGAATGCATGTTCCAATCGAGCCGATTATCAGAATCGAATGATCGGTCTTGGCTCGGTTTCTGTCGAAAACACGCTCGTACTTTTCGTTTTTCCTTTATAATAAATATCCACGTAAATTGTCAATTGACACTTGTACCTAACCTCATTAGCGAAAACAAAATTTGACGTAAACATTTGATCGAGAACTCACCTGAAGAACGAGATCCTCTCGAAACTGGATAAGGGTTTTTTTCGTACCTTCGTGAGGGTATTCCAGTAATATACCGAAATATTTTCAGGCATAACATCGTACACTTGCGATTACTATGATCAAACCAAGTTCATGCGAAACTCGGTCAAACAAATGGCAATGCGATTGAATGGAAATAAAAAAAAAAAAAAAAAAAAAATAGCAAAAGGAAACGAACAAAATTTCTGATCGGAACGAACCGATCAACCGGACTGTCAAGTCGCCTTTATGTTAGTCGAAGCACGTACAAATTCG